CCTACTTTTCTGCCCTTGTGGGCTAATGAAGACGGTTAACTGAAGTAGCTATATTAAATATAAAAGCAAATAAAAAACGGAACGAGAGTTTGGCCTATATTTAATTAGACTGCATTCTGGTATATACTTGATACCAGGGATGTACCAGTATACAAGACATCACCCAAATGCATGAAAATATCCTACTGAAATATCATTGGAACTTTGAAGATTAACTGCTTCTTTTTATAGAAATACATTACCCTACATCGCGACAACACATAAACAAACATTTAATAAGGTCTTCATTTAATATTTCTAATATTCCAACAGAATCATGACAAATTTTTTGACCTGTGTTTATAATTCATTAAATTACACATAAGGTAAACTCTGTGTAACAACAATTTTCAGGATGCATTTTTGATATTTTTTTATCTTGCACTGTGAGGGAAAGGTGAAATTAACTTGGAATAACGATTTCAATATTCTGTAATCATCTCTGAGCTACGGAATTCAACTGATCTCTTATTTTCGACAGTCCATCTAACATAGTTTCTAAAGTTTCCTTTGATAATTCTACCTGGATTCCATTAATGTCTGACATAGAGTCACTTTTACTGCGACTTTCTTGTACCTGAAATAAAGGTAATTATTTTATATAATAAATTTTTGACTGAAAGACTGAAAAATATATCTGTTCAAGAAACAGAGCCCTGTCTGCTAAATATGAACATTTTCCAACAACACAGGCAGTGTTTTCGAGAGTTAGCAGCTCACTCACCTGCATGTTCAAAATACAAGTTGGCACTGACATCCTGGCAATGGAATCGGATGCAGTCTTAACATCGACTCTCCAATCAAAATCTACCAAGTTGGGTAATGATACTGAAATATAAGACGAGATCAAAGGTCACCGATAAAGTCAGATGTCAGAGGTCAAATGTCAAATCTCCAATCAATATATACGAAGTTAGGTAATGAATCTAAATTTAACTTTGATGGAGTTGTCTCCTGCTGCCAAAGTTATTGATGGAGTTGTCTCCTGCTGCCAAAGTTATTGATGGAGTTGTCTCCTGCTGCCAAAGTTATTGATGGAGTTGTCTCCCACTGCAAAAGTTATTGATGGAGTTGTCTCCAACGTCCAAATTTGATGGAGTTGTCTCCCACTGCAAAAGTTTGATGGAGTTGTCTCCCACGTCCAAATTTGATGGAGTTGTCTCCCACGTCCAAAGTTTGATGGAGTTGTCTCCAACTACCTAAGTCGATGTAATAATTCAAAATGTGAACTATGTGTCTGTCATATACATGTAAGAACCATACGTGCTTTAGTTTCGTATAAGTATGGGCTTGACCCTAAAATTAGTCTTGTGTTCTATTTATGAGTTTTAATTAACTGATTAATCCAATCCCAGCTTGGATCTGATGGGTTAATATGATGGGAAGACATGACTGACCTTGACTAGAGTTAGCGATGGATTTCCAGTTGGTCATGTGATCTATCGTTATTCGAATCAACAAATCTCGTAAATTCTTCTGAAAATCTCCTGAAAACAAAACTTCAATAAATATATATCTTACATACATGTACCATCAGAGATCCACAAAATCAAAACCCAACACCCTGTGGATTCTGTTTTTTTTTTTAATTTATAAGTCCCAAAACTAAACCCATTAGAAAAACTTCAAAATATCAAACCCCAACACCCTGAACCCAATTATTACCCAGCATCATGTGTGGAATTTTTCTGGTTTTTCTTAAATTTATAAAAATAAATCCCACAACTATACACACTAAAAAAGCTTCAAAATTGAAGTACAAAACAAACCAAAATTCCTAAATTGTTTTTTTTTCTTTTGCTTAAATCATAGCACTATACACATTGAAAAGAGAAAAATGTGGAAAAAAATTTGGATCACTGTTCTAGAACAATCATACTTTTCAATTAAGGATAGAAATAAAACACCCAAAAAGTCCATAACAAACCTGGATAAAGTTTAACTAAATCCTGTGGATCAGCAGAACCCAGAAATACTGACTGTTTTAACAAACTTCCTAAACTTTTATAAAGCTGAAATAGATTGAATTTGATTATCCAGTTATTTCAAGCATAAATATTATATTTTCTACAGGTGTGATCACTGTGATGTATTTTAGGGTTAAGTAAGTACAGAAGATGTTGCTCATATATTGTCATTGGCTTGAAGACTAAAGGGAAATAACTCAATAAATTTATTGCTTCAATACAACTCAATATAGATGAATGATCTACCTGTAAAGAGGCTGATTTATCTATGTCTAGTTTACCAATAGTTGTATTTATAATATTATCAGGTAGTTTGGTCTGATTTCTGTATAAAAACGCCTCTTCACATATTCGTATCACATCTTCTTTGGCAGATGCCTGAAAATTATCAAAAATATACCTAATTATTCATTTCAAAATATACCTAATTATTCAATTCAAAATATACCTAATTATTCAAAAATATTCAAAATATACCAAATTATTCAAAAATATTCAAAATATACCTAATAAATATTCAAAATATACCTAATTATTCAAAAATATTCAAAATATACCTAATTATTCAAAAATATTCAAAATATACCTAATTATTCAATTCAAAATATACCTAATTATTCAATTCAAAATATACCTAATTATTCAAAAATATTCAAAATATACCAAATTATTCAAAAATATTCAAAATATACCTAATTATTCAAAAATATTCAAAATATACCTTATTATTCAATTCAAAATATACCTAATTATTCAAAAATATTCAAAATATACCAAATTATTCAAAAATATTCAAAATATACCTAATAAATATTCAAAATATACCTAATTATTCAAAAATATTCAAAATATACCTAATTATTCAAAAATATTCAAAATATACCAAATTATTCAAAAATATTCAA